AGCAGGTATTGGGTGAGTGGACGGATGGTGGCTTGCATGACGCCACTTGGGAGCCGGTGGATGTTCTTCGACAGCATTATCCCGATATGCACCTTGGGGACAAGGTGCCTTTTGAACAATGGGGGAATGTTAATTACGAGTTCTCCAACGGGGGATGACGGACAAGTAGCAGATGAATGTGGGGAACCAACTCAAGACAGTAACGACGGGCAGCCGGGGGACGCGGGGAACCCAGTGCGTAGGGGCACAAGAACGAGACGACCACCGACATGGCATGCAGACTACGACACGTAGTTATTTTTAGTAGCACTATTATTATTTTATTCTTATGGTATATTTATTAATTAATTGTAGTATATTTTTTAGGAGAGAGGTCTATAAGCTCCTTCAAGGGTTTTCTTTTCGGTTCTTTCCGTTGACACCTTTGTTGAACCGAAAGGTTAGATTAGGGTTAGGGTTTTCATCTATAAGTTGAGATGTACCCAACGAGATTAACATATTGAAGAATAATAAAAAACACTAATTAGTCTACTCTCTCTCTCTCCTCTCCTACTGCGCACCTGGTGCGTCCTTTCTTCTTCACCCTCGCCTCAACTTCCTGGAGCTCGGAGACGCTCGAAGTCTCTCCCAACCGATACGAATCTGTATCATACTGACTCTCATTTTGTACGCAAGCAAGTTATTGATGGCTCCCTGGTCACTAAATACGTCTCCTCTAAATATCAGCTTGCAGACTTTCTTACCAAGCCTTTACCATCACAGCGCTTCATTTTCTAGTTTCCAAGCTTCCTCTAGCTGCTGCTCGACTCTGTTAGAATAAAGGCCCAACGCTAGAGGGGGGGTGATTAGCGTTTAAAATAAAATCGCAGGAAATTAAAAACGAGTGCGTTAAAGTAAAGAGCGTAAGGAAGGAGCACACCGAACTTTATCCTGGTTCACCACAACGTGTGGCTAATCCAGCCCCCCGAGAGACTCTCTCGAGCTACACTAACTCCGTTATGTTTAAGGGTGATTAACAAACTGATACAACTTGAGAACCCGAGTCACACGAGCCTCAACACCTTTGCTTGGAGATACCGCACTCCAAGACTTCTCACGAAGGAACAAGGAACTTCCTTCGAGTTTACAACAAGGGAACAACCTCCCTTAAAGTGTATGAAAACACTTAAACACTCAGGAATAAAACTCTCACAAAGAGTAGATATGAGTGAACTAGTAAACGCTCAAGAACACGACAATTTCTTCAAAAATTGGCTCTCAAATAGCTAAGAAAAAATAGGAATGCTTATGCAATGAAAGAGTATTGAAATTTTTAAGAATTGTGTATGAAATGAGAGGATTTGGGTGCCATTTTATAGCCCAAAATGGGATAAACCCGTTGCTATAATTTCCAACACGATGAAGACAAATTTTTCAGGGACACAGGCTGATAGTCGATTATCAAAGCATGATAATCGATTATCCAAAGATTCCCTGTCCAAA